GTAATAAGAATCTCGCTTGTCTAAAAGCTGTAACACTTGAAACAATTGCTTCCTTTATTAAAGCCCCAAAGATCTCAAGAACACTGTGTCTTCACCGATTGCTTAGTCCAATTGTCAACAGGACGCACTGCAAGAACTTGGAGGTTTTATAGAAGTAACACTTGCATGCAGGCTAACAGTGTCAGGTTAAACAACTGGCTGAACTCTTCACAAACAGAACTACAAACTGGTTTGTAACTGTGCAATGTTAGATAATGTTCATAATTAGTCATCACTATCACCGACACCACCACCACCACTAAAATACCCTACCACCATCACCCCACCACTGAAATCCCCCCCCCCCCCCAACCATCCTACTACTAAAAAAATTACTAAAATACCCCCCCCTCCCCACCCTAATACTATAATCCCTTTCCCACCGGCCACCGTCACCCTATCTCCCCATCACTACTACAACCATAATTTTGTTTTCACACTTTAGTAAATCTCAAGCCCGTGTGAACATCCGGACCTAAAATCTAATTGTAATTATACTTTTTCATAATATATCACAAAAACTTTCGTCGTTATCTTTACTTATTGGACGGAAACAAGTGAGGCGAGTTTTAGAGGCTGGAACAGTAATTGTGGATCCAACCTTTGTGGAGTGGGTGTTTGTCTTTGTATGTCCGTGTACTCAGCTGTGTTTGCCGGGGTCTACCTCCAGCTGCCGGTTGTTTGGTGCAGTGACTCTTTGTTTCTTATCATATGAACATTTATGTTTATGTATGGAGCTGTCTGCAGGTGGAGTAGCCTCCACTCGTGTTCCAACTGGTCACTACCAACACTCTAAAGAAATTCTTGTTTGTCTCTCGGTTCATACAGAGACATTTTAGTTCATTTTTAGTTCATACTTCCATTTTACACATGTGTTCTCTTTCTCACACCTGACCTATGCTAACCAATCTGTTTGTTTCAGATTATCTCAATCCATCCTTCAATAATGATAGTACTTACAACAACTAAACTAATTGGTCAAATGTACTAAAATGGACTGTTAGCCCAGATGGCTCATTAAGAAAATGGAAAAGTAACTAAAGAACTTAATCTGACCTGTACGAGCAATCCTAGGCCTGATATACGCTCTTATACACTTAATATAGTACGTGTCTATACCTAGGAATGTATAAGTATTTCCGTGCTCTCTACAAAATGAATAGTACAAAACATGACCATTATTAGCTGCAACAGTACATTTGTGTACGTTTGACTAAATTGTTGTTATGAGTACTATCAATTTAGGAGAATGGATTGTATTTTGTATGCTGTAATTAGATCTCTTGTTCTCTATTTCTATAGCTGTGTAGTTCAGTTATCCCAGCCTATCCTCGTATCTCTGCTCTCTGTTTTCGAATTAGTCTCCCCCTTTGTGCTACTTTATTATGCTGTGTGAGTTCCAGGCTGGGGCCACATATTCTAATTCTGGTGTTGCACAAGTGGTAGTATATATAGTGCTTCAAATGATACTTGATGAGATTCAGGAAGGCTTTTCTTAGCCAATTTGGTCTCGCTAGAATGTGGAACTCGCCATCCTACTCGCAAACGTACACGCACTAAACCATTCTCTAAGCAAGAGATGTTCTCGGGAACAAGAAAGGTTTGTGTATGTTTGATGGTTGGTCAGCTTCTGCATCTGTAATGGCAGGTCGCATGCCGTCTACCCGTCCACACGCCACGCTTATTATATATTGACTTGGGACACTTGGCCCCTTCCCTTCCTTCTCCCTCGATTTCTTCCCTATATTTCTCCATGCTTTCATCTCCCTTGATCCTTACCTCTTTCTCTTCATCCTCCTTTCTTCCTCACTTTCCTTTTCTCCTCCCTACCCTTATATTCTTCCTTTCGCGTCCCTCCATTCTTCCTCTCTCCTCTTCAATCATACACCCAATCTCCCGTCTCCCCCTTCGTTCTTGTTATTTCCTCCCCTCTTCCACATTCCTCCCTTCCCTCGTCATTCACTACTCACACAAATAGTGCACTGGTTGTACATCCGGAGGAGCACTAATAGCTTTAGTTGTGGGGTTGATAGGTCGAGGGTTGGTTGGTTAAATGTGATTAATTAGTTGTATTATGGAGGTTGATCAAATAAGTGATGGGGTTGGCTATGTTGTTCTGAAGCTGTTAAACTGATGGCGAGGTTCGCCAGTTACTGTGGATATAACCCGAGATTATGAACTATTCATTTCATCAACCAAAAAACATGTTCATGAAAGATGCGTGGAAAGACTTAATGGACACATTATTACACACAAACAAGTAGACGCAGGTACAAACTAAATACCCAGAGACTTCAGAAAAATAATAAGTTCAGAATAGTGAAGAAATGGAATCCACAAAAATATATGATTGAGCCCAGTAAGCTGGGGAACTTGCCTACTAACCAATTAAAGGTCGAGAGGCAGGACCAAATAGCTTAAGCTCAACCCTGGCTAGCACAGTTAAGTGAGTACACACACGCACGCAAACAGGGTGCTTGTGTATAATTACACACACCCACGCAAACGGTGCTTGTGTATAATTACACACGCACGCAAACAGGGTGCTTGTGTATAATTACACACACGCACGCAAACAGGGTGCTTGTGTATAATTCTTTTTTTGAATGTAGTCTAGATAGCCCTCATTATATTTTATTTTTTCTATTTCTCGTGTTGTAATATTGTAAAAATGAGCTAGGTTGTGGGTGGCGTTGAGCACGGAAGACGGAAATCCATTAGAGAAGAGTGTAGGGAGACTGAGTCCCGCACCGCTCTCTGTGGGCCCCAGGCATCCCCAAGCCGGCTTCTCTCTCTAATTTGGCCCCAGACGGCGCGCTGGCTCACTCTAGCCCCGTGATCTCTGTATTAGCCCGCGAGTTACGACATAATTGTCCAGAATTTATGTGAAAAAATCACCCCTAGTCCATAACCGTGTAAAGAAAACGGGTTGAGTGAAGTTTAAGAAAATGGGTTTGAGGGAATCATAGAAAATGTGGTAAAATCACAAAATGGGGCAACCAAATCTCTGATATTGAGAACAAATCAGCACGGAATTAGTAGCATGGGCAATAACACACAAGTCGAAGATAATATATTAAGTTAAAAGCAATAACTACATTAAATTGGGTCTAAACTAAATTCAAAATGAACTTAAATCTAATTATTTGATTGGATTTCTTTCTTTAAAACAAGAAATGCCATCAAACAATTTTAAAATGGAGCGGTGAATGATATATAATATAGCTAATAACGAATTTTATACAACTCGCATTTCCCGAAATCACCAAAAACTAGTTTTGAAAATGGGCGATATCTGGTCATATGGAATTATATTAAAGGAGTGTTTGTGACTCGGAAGGAATTAAAATTAAACCTCTAAGAGAATATATATATAGAAAACAGACAGAAATAGAATTCTTCTGAAACCTCAGAAAACGGAAACAAAGCAATCAGCGAAAACGAGCTTGAGAGAAACCACAGAAAACGAGCTCAAAGGAATCACAACTGTTAATGTTTCCTTTTTATGATTTTTTTTATATTTTTTTTTACCAAAGCCTCGGCCCCTAATGGTGCGGAAGTCTTAAAACCTTTTTAGAAAATCAGTCCATTTTAGCTCTGCAACGCTCACAAGAAATATTTTGGCGAGGAATGAGCTGGATGCCGGGCTTGAAAATTGAACCTACTGTCAGTGGGGAAATTTGAGAGAGGGAAAAAGATGGGGAGGGGGGGAATACAAAGGGAAGCGTAAGAGAATGGAGATGAATAGATGATAATGAAACCCAAATCAAGGAAAAGTATGAGAACTACAGTAAAAAAAAATATATATGCAAGTTAAAGAAAGAAGAAAATTAAATGAAAATCAAATGCGTTTATTACCCTTTGTGTATAGGCTAGCATAGCTTAACTGTTGTTGTTGTTACGTATTCAGCTTCTGGGTACAAAAAGTTCCACGTTCTGGTGAGCCCGTAGTAGCTTAACTGTATTAACTTGCCTAAACCTAAGCTAATGTAATTGGAAGTGAGGCGGCGTTGTCAGAAGACGTTGTGGAGAGTAAGGTGCAGCAGCCGTGCGGGATGGCAGGGTGACCATCCGGACGCTCTCCAACTTCTCCTCTCGAATAATACATCGCATTTAGACGTAAAACTCCCCAACGTACGAAGTATGATGTACTATAAATCATAGCGACTTACACTCACGTTTTCTATGACGCGCTCGTTTAGGTTAGGCTCGGGTGTTTTAGTTCACCGTTTTCTGTCCGTTGACACAACTCGAGAGGATGAGTTGCGCTGTGTCCACTTGGCAACCCGTTCTCGCACTTTCTTACAGTCAGTATTGACTTATTAAATAAGTGCATATGTGACATACTAATTTATTGTGAATATTTTAGTTTACCTTGAAAAGCTTCATAGAAAACACCGACCTTACCTAACCTTCTTAGTATGTTAAGATAAGCATCTTATTGCTTCGTAATTACAATTATTACTTAACCTATACCTAAATATTTTGGGTCTATATCCTATATTGGGTCTTAACCTATACCTAAATAGGTTAAGTAATAATTGTAATTACGAAGCAATAAGATGCTTATCTTAACATACTAAGAAGGTTAGGTAAGGTCCGTGTTTTCTATGAAGCTTTTCAAGGTAAACTAAAATATTCACAATAAATTACTATGTCACATATGCACGTGTTTAATAAGTCAATATTGACTATACGAAAGTGCGAGAACGGGTTGCCACTTGGTCCTGCACCTCACCCTCCACTTGGTCCTGAACCTCGCCCTCCACTTGGTCCTGCACCTCACCCTCCACTTGGTCCTGAACCTCGCCCTCCACTTGGTCCTGCACCTCACCCTCCACTTGGTCCTGAACCTCGCCCTCCACTTGGTCCTGCACCTCGCCCTCCACTTGGTCCTGCACCTCGCCCTCCACTTGGTTCTGCACCTCGCCCTCCACTTGGTTCTGCACCTCGCCCTCCACTTAGTCCTGAACCTCACCCTCCACTTGGTCCTGCACCTCGCCCTCCACTTGGTCCTGCACCTCGCCCTCCACTTGGTCCTGCACCTCGCCCTCCACTTGGTCCTGCACCTCGCCCTCCACTTGGTCCTGCACCTCGCCCTCCACTTGGTCCTGCACCTCGCCCTCCACTTGGTCCTGTACCTCGCCCTCCACTTGGTCCTGCACCTCGCCCTCCACTTGGTCCTGCACCTCGCCCTCCACTTGGTCCTGCACCTCGCCCTCCACTTGGTCCTGCACCTCGCCCTCCACTTGGTCCTGCACCTCGCCCTCCACTTGGTCCTGCACATCGCCCTCCACTTGGTCCTGCACCTCGCCCTCCACTTGGTCCTGCACATCGCCCTCCACTTGGTCCTGCACCTCGCCCTCCACTTGGTCCTGCACATCGCCCTCCACTTGGTCCTGCACCTCGCCCTCCACTTGGTCCTGCACCTCGCCCTCCACTTGGTCCCATCCTGTAATACCTGCAGCTGCACCCCTCGTGTTCTAATATTCCCCCCTTGCCCCTCCCGGACATTGACAGGAAGGGCTCACCTGTGGAGGCTGAATATTCAGAATGGCAAGTGAAATATTGGTCAGGTTGCCGTGCTCCTGCTGGGCCCTGCCATTTAATTGACCTTATGATATTGAATATGTGATCTTGTGGCGTCGGTGACTGGCTGGTTGTTGTTTGGCTGGGTTAGCTGGCTGGGTTGGCTGGCTGGCTGGGTTGGCTGGGTGGCTGGGTTGGTTGACTGGCTGGGTTGGTTGACTGGCTGGGTTGGTTGGGTGGCTGGGTTGGCTGGGTGGCTGGGTTGGCTGGCTGGCTGGGTTGGCTGGCTGGCTGAGTTACCTGGCTGGGTTGAATGGTTGGCAATCTGGACGTGCTGGCAAAGTCGTTGTGTGTTCGGTATTGTCATGTTGAGTTTGATGTCAGTATTTTACACAGTGATGTGTGGTACACTTCTGTTGTTTGATGACACAAAGGTGACCAAACAGCAGCAGATCATTAGGTGCAAGCGAGACTTGCTTATTAGTGAAAGGTTTGTGGCTGCACAAACAAGTCATGGATTCAAAGCACAACCTTTGTCCAGAATACAGTATACTACTCTTAACTGCTTCCGATATTAAACTGTTCCTTATGTTTACCACTTGACTAAGTAGCATTTATCTTTGTTATACTCTTAAGTCTTTTGTCTTATGATTTAGGAAACCATCGCTTCGCTTTATATTTGATATTTATTTGACTTTTTCTTCACTCAAGATTTCTTTGTCTATCAGCGATTTTATATATGTGTTGTAGTTTGTTGTTATCCAGTTTGGTGCTCTCTAGTTTGACATTCCATGAAGAAACAGTATTGGGCAACGTCACTCATCCTGTGAGTGAACTTTCCGCTACATTGGTAGTATTGAACAGCGTCACTCATCGTGTGAATGAGCATGCTGCCATAGTGGCAGTAGGGACAGCGTCACTCATCCTGTAGGTGACCATACCGTCATAGTGGTAGTAGGGACAACGTCACTCATCCTGTGAGTGAACTTTCCGCTACATTGGTAGTATTGAACAGCGTCACTCATCGTGTGAGTGACCATACCGTCATAGTGGTAGTAGGGACAGCGTCACTCATCTTATGAGTGAACATACCGCCATAGCAGCATGAATATAACTCTCCAATTGGGAAGGCCTTCCACAGCTGGGACTTATTTAACTGTCTCAAGAGCAACAAACATATCGTCTCTAGCTTCACGTTCTCTATTACCATTCACATTTTCCATCTCCCCTGTGCTCTCTTCTACCTAACTACTTCTTCAGTATCATCCCTCCCTATCTCTTGTTCGTGCCACCTCATGTCTATCCATCATCTCCGAAGTCTCGGATAGTAGTTGAATGGTTTGTGAAATTAATCTTCTGGTCAAAGGATAACAGACACGTGTGTTCTATTCTTTAGCTCTAGGAATTGGTTGTGTGGTCCTAGTTGATCATTGAACGTTATCATTTCCGGTTTCATTATTTCTACTTGGGAGTGGAGCTGAGATCGTAAATGTAACTCTACAGCTCCAAAGGTTAGGTTAATATTACTTTATACTACGCCAGAGATATTATTTTGTCATCAATTTATTAAATAACCATTTCTCTTCTTTACCTCCTCATTCTCCATCACTCTTCTTGACTCATTTCCCTCCCTTTTATACCAACCCTCCCGAGCTCCATTACTCTCCACCCTCCAGGTCCCCATTACTTACCACCCTCCAGGTCCTCTATTACTCTCCACCCTCCAGGTCCTCCATTACTTGCAAGCCACTCTACCCTTCTCCCCATGACTCTCCTCCCCAACCTGTGTCTCCTCACATTGCTTGCTCCCCCATTATAGTTGTCCGTGCCCGGTTAACTAGCCTCCCTCTCCCCCACTCTGTCTGCGTCTGCTGCTGCCACTCTCACAGCAACTGTTAGCTTAACTGATTGGTCCTAATTGTGCTGGAACCTGATAGTTTTATAAAGTGTTCGTCGAATTTCCCTCTTTTTCCTGATCACGAGTGGTGCTTGACATATGTGTGGGGGGAGAGGGGGGGTGGCCATGTTGAGGTGGCCGTGTGGGGTGGGGGGGCTATGTAGAGGTGGCCGTGTGTGGCCTTCACTTTAAACCATTCGGTTTAAAGTGAAGCAAAATTTACTTCATTTGGGGCAAACCTATTTTTGCGGACGGAAAATACGTGTAACTTAGGGTAAGCACTCCAGTGTTGGCCTGTGAATGATTCTTAGATCACTGCTGAAGTACCTTCTACGATGCAGGTCATGATCCTTGATCTCGTGGAGCACTTGTCTTATGGTGAGGGTTTGACCCCGTCACTGGTATACCTTCTCAACAGTGACTTGAGTGTGGTATGTATCACCAGTGTGATGGAGACAGTGACCTCTTCCAACCTTCATGAAGGTCATTCCTCAATGGTAGGTTTAATGGCCTCGAGTTAACTGATTTTGATGTGTAATTTGTTCATATGGATTAGTTCAGTTGCTTTCCCATTTCGATTGTATAATTGTTTGATAACGCACGTCAGAGTAAGCATTTTCATTGGATGCCAACGAGGGTTGGCTGCTCCCTCTTTGTAAGTACTGCAGCTCTTGCGCTGGCCACTAATACCGATGTGGCTCAGAATCCAACAAATCTGAACTTGTTTTCTATTTTCCAATTTTGATGGAACATTTGACTTCTTGACTGGACAAAATGGTTAATAGAATTAAATCCTAATATTGCTGAATTCTGCCGAAGGAGTCGGTAAAGATAACCGAGTATCATTATGCCTATCCATAATATATAGCCCGTAAAAGCTGCATAAAACTCGGCACTCAAGATGGAGAAATGTTGTGCATTGCAAACATTGAAGTCAAGTTCAATGAATTCCGAAGTCAATTCAAAACAGATACCATCAAAGTTTTTTAAACTATCAGCGCTGATTTGAGAATAGGGTTGTTGATTTACGTAACAAATTACCGGGTAACATAATAGACATGGATTCACTGGATTGTTTCGAGTGAAAGTTTAACGTACATAAATGGGTGGGTTTAAATAGGAGCTGCCTTAGATGGCCTTTAGTTTCCTTCATTCGTATGTCCATATACTTATAAGCTGCACAAATTGTAAAATGATAAAAAACCCAACCCAAGGTGGAAACTTAGCACCCAAATTAGCCACAGAAACATTAGATAGATTTTTCAGTGTCAGAGTAGTTAACAAATGGAATGCATTAAGTAGTGATGTGATGGAGGCTGACTCCATACACAGTTTCAAATGTAGATATGATAGAGCCCAGTAAGCTCAGGAATCTATACATCAGTTGATTTATAGTTGAGAGGCGGGACCAAAGAGCCAGAGCTCAGCCCACGCAAGCACAACTAAGGGAGTCCATGAAATAGAGGTGACGATGTTTCAATTGATGGACGCTCATCAAGTCGTAGGTGAGCAATAGTGGGAGGGGAGCGAACACCAGGGTTCAGGACGGACCGAAACCTCGCCACTTTCGTTCCATGTGTGTGTGTGTGTTGGTTGTGTTACTTGTTTCCCAGGATTATAAAATACAGGGTCCTCAAACCTATTTTATTATTGCCTGCATCATTCATACGCAATTTAAACTGTCAGTTTAATTAAAAAGAATTGTTTTCCACAGCTTGTTTCTGCTACAAAATCATCATTTTTCATTTGTAAAATTCTACTTTGAATTGATTTATCGGTTGTTATGTGCACAATACACAGTCGCAAAATATATTATCATCAGTTAAAGCTGCAAAACTTTCCCAGTGCAAAATCCTCTTTAAACTGTAATATTTTTCTGGATATAGCGCTTAAAATTCTCGTTAAAAGAGCAAAATACATGTACTGTGCTCCAAATTACCTGGTTATTAGGCAATCAGTTTGTGTAGTTTTAAAGTTGCAGGTGTCGTATAGATGTGAGTCGTTAGTGCATGTGAGGAGGGTCTGTCCTCGACCCCCGGCCAGACATTCCTCACTCTGGCTCTAATGTGGAGCATCTTAGAGTAGTTGTTACGAAAGAACCTACGTCAATTACCATCTTTGTTGTACTGTCTGTGTGTATTGTGTTTATATGTGGCGTGTCTCACAGTGTATTGTGGTGATGTTTGGTGTGCTGTATACTGTATAATGTTTGGTGTGCTTCGTAGTGTATAATGTTTGGTGTGCTTCGTAGTGTATAATGTTTGGTGTGCTTCGTAGTGTATAATGTTTGGTGTGCTTCGTAGTGTATAATGTTTGGTGTGCTTCGTAGTGTATAATGTTTGGTGTGCTTCGTAGTAAACTTTTTTAACTGTGAGTTTAGTTTCTGTTTTAGTAAAAATAGTTTCATTGTGGTTGTGTGGGTAAGGTATAGGGAGGCTGTCAAGCGTATCTTGCCATCGTTGACAGGTACTATTCCAGCCGAGAGCAACGCTTGGCAAGCGCGGCTCTGCCAAGTACCAGTAAAACTTACAATAAGATGGACCGAGATTATAGCTATGTTGCCCCAGCATCCTTGCCCTCGTACTTGATCCTCCTCGTCGCTACTCAAAAGTGGCACTTTAATGCCCTCGTAAAGAGCATGGGGTGAAGCGTGTCACAAGTTTGCACTCAGTTCAGTTTCAGCTCTTTGGTCCCCCTTCTCACTCTTCAGTTGGATGGTATGCATATTCCCGAACCTTTCGGGGGGTCTTGTCTGCTTTTAAAGCTGTTTATGGAGTCTGCTTCCACCACTTCATTTCTTAGTACGTTCCATTTGTTCACTTCTCTGACACTTAAATGTGTATTGTTTCAAATGCTCACTTGGGCATTTAGTGTCTAGTTGGACCACTTTGTTAGCGTTAGACACGTGCCATCTCACACTACTCTCTCACTCACTCTCTCTCCTCTCTCTCTCTCTCTCTCTCTCTCTCTCTCTCTCTCTCTCTCTCTCTCTCTCTCTCTCTCTCTCTCTCTCTCTCTCTCTCTCTCTCTCTCTCTCTCTCTCTCTCTCTATATATATATATATATATATATATATATATATATATATATATATATTTAGTGCAGTAAGTGGCTGTGTAATCAGTGATTTAATTCACGCTTTGCCTTTCTGAGTTTGTAAAAATTCAAGACTTGCAACACAGCGTTCTCCTGCGCCTCCCACAGCCAGGACGTGTTGCAACTCCCATCATCACAATTCAGTAGGACTGTGACAGCGAGGCATGATTGCATCACAACGTTATGTAATCTGTTGAGAATGGTGACGTCATCAGTATCTAGTACAAATAATAATTGTATGATCATAACAATTATGACACATTATCGTTGTGTATAACCCAGGACCTAGATGATGATGAAAGTGCTTAACACACTTAGAAGATATATCTTGGAGCAGCTTGACTAATTTAGGATGCCTGTCCAAAATACAAGGC